TAAGCAGCTATAGCTGAGCTAAATATTAAAGCAGAGCAAAGTATGTCTGCATTTTTGTTTATATTAATGTTAGTTTTTTAGTCTATACTAGAGCTTTAGCACATACTGAGACATATTTACAGCCAAGATGGTAAAATGGACATAAAATGTTGGGCTCCCAAGGTGGTTTGATTTTTGTTGAAAGGACTAAATGGCTCTTCTCAACATTTGGGTTGCGACACCTGCAGAAGGGGAAAGTAATTTAGGCAGAAGGCAAAGATGAATATCCAACATTTACTTTGCAGCTGGAGAGTTAACTGGGGTGTTTACAGTGCATGTATGAAGCATAAACAGATGTGAAACATAGTCTGGAAGAGTATTGTGCTTTAATAAGAAGGCAAAAATAAATACCCAACACTGACAGTAATTTATTTTGCAGCTGGGGTACTGGGTGAGGTAATAAAGGTTACATCAAGATGCCCAGGAACAAGAGGAACCAGTGTGGTATTGCCTCATATGCCGTCTTTCCTGTGGTTTAAAGGTATAACGCCATTAAAGTTGTCAGTCCTCATCCACACAGATCTACACTGTTGAGTTCAGCTCCAGCTTCCTGTTTCAGACGCTGAAGAAAATGTAATGCAGATGAAGTGTGCATTACATTTTAATGGCCAAAAAATCTAGTTACTAGTGCTGTTTTTCACGTCACTGTAGCTGTGCACAATTGCTCTTGTGACCCAAAAATGTTTTATAGTTAATCACATTCCCTAACAGTTTGAATTGTGTATAGAAGTAGTTTTTGTGATTCCAGCTGAATCTGAACTTTGCAGGTCAGTGAATCTCCTGGAGCTGAGATGGGATCCCTAGAATTAGAACTGAACTACATCAATGAATATGTTGTATCTCTAACTATAACACAACTTTAAGGAGTAGCATGTGAATTAATTCTGTTCAAATGTTGTTTTTCTACAGACTGGAGAGAGACAGAATCTTGAAAACCTCAAGAAGGAAGTTCTGGCCAAAGAACTTTTATTATCCTTTTCCTCTGATTCCTTTCCTTTCTTTTTTCACTTCTTTTAAAGCAGATTAAGCATTAGATAAGCATTGTACTGTCTTAAAACACAAATTAATCTCAGTGTGAAATACTGTTTCTGACTGTTCAAAACAAAATAAACTCTCAGCATTCATAAAATCTATAATGGCTGTAATTCATTCCAGCTCCTCACACCAGCACACATGTGCACACTCATTATGATCCACAATGTTGTTATGTATAGTTTATTTCAGTGTATAAGTGAGCCAGACTACCTGATTTCTAGTTTGCATAGTTTTAATACGTCTACTTATGAGGTCTGCTTGTTAAATGGATGTCTCCATTTCACCACCATGTGAGGAAACCAACAGGCTAGTTTAGATTTCTCCTCTTTGATCTCCTTTTCAAGGTGAAATGGAGTTCACTGGCCTGTAAGCACTAGGCAAGCCTATGAAGCTGGACTGTTAGTGTCCACTGGGCAATAAGACCAAACTAGGGTGCTGGGTTCCAGCTTTTACATGACCTCCAGGGCACTATACAATGTTTGGGTGCAGAGGCACTAAGCAGTGTAAGGGTACTAGAGTACTAGGTGGTGCTAGGAAGCTGGGCACTAGGCTTTTGTGGCCCTCTGGGGTATTTGGTAGTGCTACAGAGCCAGATGCCAGCTTGGTGATGCCCTTTGGAGCACTAGGTGGCACTATAGGGCTACTTACTTGCTCACTGGTGTCTTCTGGTCCAGCCAATAAGTAATAATTATTATGGTAATAATTACCTATACAATGTAATAATTAATACAATTGATATTTAATCTTAATGAGCATTTCTACTAACTATATTAGTGCCACAGACATTATTATTATTATCACTTTATACTATTAAGCTATACTTTTAAAACTATTTAAACTCTCAGGGTGTGGCGAGAGCTCTTTCTGTCTTTGTCACTCTCACCATGAAAGGATATCAGTATATATGATGGTTTTCTCACCTACACACAGTGACTCACCACTTGTTGTTTTATTGCCCAAAAGCAGTAACGGGGCAGTTTTCTCACATTAAATATTGCCTCACAATTCCATGCTGACCACTGACTGAAAATGAAACCAAATTTCAACCTTAACTTGCTCAGCCTTTTTTTTAACTACAGTCAGCAAGTATTTATTAATTTCCGCTAATCCCATAGGGCACAACAGGCTTACAGTTATAATTAATATTTAATATAATAGATCAGCAGAAAACCAAATTCCTCAAGTTTTGACCCTGAATGTAGTCGATCAGCCAAGACATGTTTGGCGCCTGAAGTTCGCTTCTTTAGTTTTAGCACTGGAGTTACAAGGATATGGCAGCTAATAAGTATAGGAAGCTTATAATCCACCAATTAGCATACAAAGCTGCTAACCGCATGTGCAAATCATCACACAGCTGTGCCATTTTTTTCTGGTTTTCCTACAAAGGTAGGTCATATTTACAAATTTACTGTTTTTGCTTTCTGTGCTTAGCATCTTTGTGATATTTTAGAAAATCTCCCCTCTCACTGCCCTCACAAAAAAAGTGCCAGGGCCAGTTCCAGTTCCAGTGTTATTCAGAAGGCACTCTGGGATGAGCATAATTCCCAGGGGGCACATTGGAAACTACATGTTAGTGAGCCATTTTGGAAGGCCTTCTGTCAGCCCCTGGAGGCCTGAGTCAGTTACGTGGTTACATGGCCTGCTGTTAGTTTGTGTGTGTATGTGTTCGTATATATGTGTGTGTGTGTTAGGGTGGACAACATGGACAGGCTGCTGACTGGCTACAGCTGCTAAAGGAGAACCCTACGCTGACCATTTGTGATATTTTAAACATCTGGTATTTTTAACATAAATTGTTATGGCTGTATTGATTTGAAAAAAAAATAAAAACAATAATGCAGTGGGTCCACAAGACCACTGAGTAATCCACGCAAGGATTAAGATCAAAAGATAAATAGATGACAATAAAAATGTAGCTTTTATTTCCTGATATTTACATCTGGGTGTGTTTAAACAACACAGAACATGGTACCTTAGGTGGCGAACAACACATTTTTTAGGTGAGCTAAAATATAAGAACAGTTGATCATAAAGTAAAGTAAAAACACAACACTTGGTGGCATATCCCTTGCATTCAGTAATTGCCTCAAGCCGGTGAAATGCATACTCAGCTGGATCAATATCTGTTCGTTGACCTGGCCAATCTAAAACCTTCTGTTTTTTCCTCTGTTGAAGTCCTTTGTTGTGATGGCAGTATGTTTTGGGTAACTGTCTTGCTGCACAATGAAGTTCTTCCTAATTAAAATTTGATTACATTCCCTCTGTAAATTGGCAGAGAGAGAATTGGAGAGAATGTTTCTGTAGGCTTGTGAATTCTTTCTGCTACTACCTTTATAAGAAACATCATCAAGAAAGATTAGTGAGGCCATTCCAAAAGCAGCCATGCAAGCCTACTTTGCTTTGTGTGACTCCTTTGAAAAATTAACACATAAGCATAGTAAATAAATTATATATTCATAGTGTTACCGTCAAGTCCATAAGTATTTGGACAGTGATACGCACACACACATGCACGCACACACACACACACACAAACATACACACATTTTCTAAGTCACTTATCATGCATGTCTTTGGACTGTGGAAGGAAACCCACACTGACACTGGAAAACATGTAAATACCACACAGAAAAGAATTACAGAAATCCAGTTTAGTCTTCAGTAAGTTAAAAGGATGCTCAATTGGGTCAAAATCAGGTGACTGACTCAGCCATCAAAGAATATTCTATTTCTTTGTCTTAAGAAGCTCTTGGCTTATTTTCACAGTAAATTTTTGGTTAATATTCATCTGTACCATGAAGTGCTGTCCTGTCATTTGTGCAGTATTTGGCTCAATCTGAGCAGAAAATGTAGCTCTATACACTTCAGAATTCATCCTGCCACATCTATCAGCAGTTACAGCATCAATAAACACTGGTTACACAATTCAATTGGCAACCTTTCATGCTCATGTTATAACACTACCTCCACCATGTTTCACAGATGATGTATGTATGCTTTGGATCATGAGCCCTTCTTTTTCTTCTCCATACCCTTCTCTTCCCATCATTCTGGTGCAAGTTAATTATGGCTTCATCTGTCAAAAGAATCTTGTTCCAGAACTGGGCAGACATTTTTAGATGTTTTCTAGCAAAGTCTAATTTGGCCTTTCTCTTCTTGATTGTTAGCAAGTTAGATTGTGAAGTAAAGCCTCTGTATTTACCTTCATGAAGGAGTCTTTTGATTGTAGACTTTGTCAATTGATGACTTGATATTGTGAATGGATTTTTCTTCACAACAGAAAGAAAAATATCATTATCCACTTTAATTGTCTTCCATGGTCTTCCAGGCTTTTGGTGTTGCTGAGCTCACCAGTTCCTTCTGTTTAAGAATGTACCAAATTGTTGATTTGGCCACTGACCACTGTTGATTTGACCACTGCTATTCACTGCTATTTGAGCACTACTTTTCACTACTATCTCTCTGATAGGTAAGTTTTGTTTTTCAACCCTCCACTTGCATCGACACCTCTTTGGATTGCGTGGTCTCCATTGTAAATTAAAGTGTGATTCCGTTGTCACTAGCTAATTATGTCGTAGTAGTGTAAGGCCTTTCGTCCAGCTCCACAATGAAGGCAATACAACAAATTTACTAACTTAACAGTGAAATAAGATTATAACTACAACAATTATAGAGTTTAAATACAACAAGACTGATGATTCTCTTTTAGAAAAATGAACTGAACAGTATAGACCTGTTTATTTCTATTTCACAGAAATCATCATGTCTTCTCTGAAGGCCTAAAATGACCTGAGGTTTCTACACTGCAGCTGTAATGCATGAAGTCATGTAGTTCTCATCTTTTTTTTTTGGTTTCAGAAAGTTGAAGTTTGTGGTAAGCGTGTATCTGTCAGTATCTTTAGCATAGAGATGAGGATCAGAGTGACAGATGACATCAGATAAAGTCAGCATAAAGCCAATGACAGTGAGGACACTCACTCACACACAGAGCTTCACGCCTGAAGAGCAGATAGATACAGGTAAGCGCATTCAGAGATTTGCACTGAAGGAAAAATGCTAAACTAAAAAACAAAGCAGTGAAAAAATAACTTTTGAGAAACAGAAAAAGGCAGCAGGTAAATATACAAACAACTGAAGCACTATGAAATAAATTGCACAAATTGTAAGATTATAAATGAAGCATTTGTTAATTATCTTGCTACTGTCTGATATGTGAACTTTATGACAAGTAACTAACTAACTAGCTAAATAAATAAAAAAATTAAGAAGAACATACTTATATTTGTACACCTTTTAGAGATTCTACACAATCAGATAATTAAAAAAAATAAATATAATTCAAAAATGACTTTAGACAACATTAGGAAATTATTATTATTATAATAACAATGAAAAAAGAAAAATTATATTATGTATTTTTCTGTTTTTGATGTAATTTGAAAATGCCTGTTGTCCTTTAAATTGTCTGTCAATTTCATGATGAAAGGACCAAAAGAAATGACCCAAACTTACTTGGAAAAAAGTCTGTTTCCATTGACTTAAAGGTAAAATATGTTTTTCCATATATATGTATATATGTATATATGAAAAAACATTTTACCTGTAAGTCATCTATATCTATATATATATATATATATATATATATATATATATATAGATAGATAGATAGATCGTGAAAAAATGGTTACTTCATATTTAAAAAATGTAAATTGTAAGGACTTTGACCTGGATGACAGGAAACATTCATAAAGAATTCCAGGACATGGCACTATTGAAAAAAGGGCCGGGGTTTTAAGTTAGTCACCAGTCTGTCTTTAGATTTTTGGATTTCAATTAAACTCATAAAAGTATGTTAACAGAACAAAAATCTGTATTAATCTTTATTTGTAAGTTTAATTAACTCAATTTATGGCAGCCCACACACTAACTCTTTAAAGTTAAAACCTCTTTTTTTCAGTGTAGGCACACACTAACAGCAGTGAAAAATGCATTCCAGCATCACAGCTGAACAGTGTTTATATGATATGGCTTTCTTACTGAATCCTGTACACTTTATCTGATCACTCATTTCACAACATTCCAACATTAATGCAGGACAGAAACTACATGGCATTGTGAGAAGAAATGAGAGGTTAAAAATACTGGTTCAAAGAGTTTATGTGATCTAAATTTGAAGGATTATTACATTTTTAAACAGTATTTGTTTATTTCCCTTAGGCTGAAATTATTTACATTGTAGGTAATTATTCTGTTCATTCTTACTCTGTGCAGAATGAGGGTTTTGCTTGCTGTCGCTGCTCTTGTGGTTGTGGCCGGTGCAGCCAGTGTCTCTGTGGAGGATCTGGAGTTCAACGCCTGGAAACAGAAGTTTGGTGAGAAATCTACATCAAATCTGCTTCTGTATAACAAAATCTCCACCTCCATTAACAACTCTCCATTGGACAGAAGTATTAGACTAAAATCACATATATTATTTATAATACTTAGCTGTATATATATGAAAGAATTGGATTTTAAAGTCTATTTATTCGATATTTATTGTTTGCTTTGTTTGTATAGAATCACAAACACCCAAAAACCCTTTCCATGATTAAAGGGTTCTCTGCATGGTGAAATGGTTCTTCAGACTGATGTAGAATGTGTTGTAAATGGTTCTATATAGCACCAGAAAGGGTTCTGCTATTGTGACAATGTCAAGCTTGTAACAAAGAAGAACACATTTCAATGCTATATAGAACCATTTTCAAAAGGGTTCTATATAGCACTGTCTACTGCACATTCTCCATTAATCTGAAGAACGCTTTCACCATGTAGAGAACTCTTTAATCATAATCAGGCTTCTTTGGGTGTTCATGGTTCTATATAAAACCATTTTTCTTCACTAAAGAACCCTTGAAGGACCATCTTTTTTAAGAATGTACTGAAACAACATGCAGGAATCCAAACAATCCTTTCAGCAAGGTGGAAAATAAGTTACAAAGATCCAGCAAAATATCAAACACTGGTCAAAACAACCACTAATAGGACTAAACTGTTTCTTTCATGATGTGATCTGGACCACATGGGCTTGAAAGACATGCAGTTCAGTCCATTTCAGAGGAGGTTTTAGGATTTTTGTCCCTCCAGAATCTTTTGTAAATTCACCTGTAAAATGTGAATTTGCTACTTTTTTACTTTTTTATTTAACTTGAGGTTCTATGAACAGAACGTGTTCAGCATGTCTCATAAACGACATCATAAAAAAGCAAAAGAAAAGAAGAGTAAAAACACTGATTGTCACAGACAATGAACACTAATTGTAACAGAAAATGAGAAAATGTATCAAAACAGATGTTTTCCCACTAAGGTCCTTACTAAATTCCTCTGCACATTTCCTCTCAACATTTTATTTGTAGTTTATATATATTCTTAAAGCTAAACAGTCTTTCACTGAAATTCTTCTTTCATAAAACCAAACAAAAATCTATTTTTAAAGCAAAAAAGGTGAAGCTGAAACAAAACATTCTGTGCTGATCATTTTGTGCCCTGATAAACGCTGTTAGAGCTCTGCAGGGCTCGGCCAAATATCAGCTATATTTTTACACTTACAGCATTGAGCTCAGGTTGGATTTAAGCTGCTGTATTTGCTTTTATAAATTAAAATGATTATTATTTTTTACAGTGTATTAGATTAGCCTGAATCTTTCTCTCTTTCTCTCTCTCTCTCTCTCACACACACACACACACACACGCTCCTGCTATTTCTCTCTCACACACATCCTCTCTGACTATATGTTTTTATTGCACCACTTTCTCTCTCTTTCTCTCTCTCTCACACACTCACTCCTGCTCTTTCTCTCTCTTACACACTCTTTCTTCATCTTTTCATTGCGCCTCTCTCTCTCTCTCTCTCTCTCACACACACACTCATGTTCCTGCTCTTTCTATCTCTCACACACCCTCTCTGACTATCTTTTTATTGCACCACTTTCTCGCACTTTCTCTGTTTCTCTCTCGCTCTCTTTCTCTCTCTCTCTCCCTCACACACACACACACACACACTCCTGCTCTTTCTCTCTCACACACCCTCTTTCTTCATCTTTTTATTGCACCACTTTCTGTCTTTTTCTCTCTCTCACACACACGCTCCTGCTTTCTCTCTCTCACACACCCTATCTTTTTATTGCATCACTTTCTCTCACTTTCCCTCTCTTTCTCTCTCACTCTCTCTCTGTCTTTATTTCTATCTTTCTATTGTGCTGCACTCTCTTTTTCTCTCTCCCTCTGAATTTGTCTTTATCTTTTTATTGCGCTGCTTTCTTTCTCCCTTTTTCTCTCTCTCACACTCGCTCTCTCTGTCTTTATCTTTCTATCATGCCGTATGCTCTCTCTTTCTCTCTTTTTTCTCTCTCTCACTTGCCATCTCTGTCTTTATCTATCTATCTTTCTATCGTGCTGTACTCTCTCTCTTTCTCCCTCTTTCTCCCCTCGGCTCTGGTTAAAAATATCCCAGGCCAGGCCAGACCCCTGATCTAGACTGTCAAAACCATCCAGTGTCCAGCTACTTTTAACGTAGATGAGCTGATATGTTATATGTAGTGCTTATTTACCATGGACATTATAATCTGAGCTCAGAAGCCAACATTTTTTAATCAACACAAAACACCAGAAATATCTAGAAATTCAAACGAACGCCGTCAGGGTTTGAGGAAAGCAAACTTTTCTGACAGATGGTAGAGTTTATTTAGCATGCGATACCATGTAGACTGGGTGGGCGGGGCCTGCTGTAGCATGACTTTCCATATAGACCCTTGAAGTTGTGTGTCAATTTGTAGTTGGCATTAGGCCCATATTTGGACTCAAAGCTCAATTTTTCTATGGCAAAAATTAATGGAGTTTTCCAGAAATCATCTCTATCGCGCCTCATCGTTAATAAAAATGTTCAGAACCACATGCATTTTGTCTTGTGTACATATTCCTCCCATATATCACTGGATCCTCTGAATTACGAGGTTGTTAAAAAGTCATGATACTAGTATTGCTACATGCAAGCTAAAGCTACTGCGTATCAGTTTGGCATCACTATGGTGGTTGTATCACTGGTTTGTAAGCCTTTTTCAATGATTACCAGGAGAGTATCAAAAGAGGTTAAAACCACTTGAAAGTTACCAAAGTATGTGATGATAGTATCAAATGTGCAACTTCTTATTAATGCCTATGGATTTAGAGTGAGATTCATAAAAGCTCCTACAGGTGTAATATGTAGGTGTCCCAATACTTTTGTCCATATTCTGTAGCTCTATCAGGCTATCTTTGACTCTTTAAAGACCTCAGAAGAAAAAAATTCATAGGACAAAAATAATCCGCTTTGGAAAAGTTTTGATTACAAAAGGATGCAGCAGAGGCAGTTTTAAAAAAGTTCATTCATTCTTATCATAGATAAAATCTTTTTAGAGCCGGATTTCCTTATGTGTGTTTAAGAGCGTAGCACCAACCACGAAATGATGACAGGACTTCAGTGGTCTATTGGCTGAACGGGCTGTAGGCTGAACTTGAGGTGCATTCAAAAGACATGCACACACTAAACACGGCTTTCCCATGAAATACATTCTTGAAAATGATGGTTCTTCAAGGGTTCTTTAGTAAAGAAAATGGTTCTATATAGCACCAAAAAGAGTTCTTCTATCATTGCAGGCTTGACATAGGAACTGTAGAAGAATCCTTTTTGATGCCATATAGAACCTTTTTCAAAAAGGTTCTATATAGAACCTTTTTCAAAAAGGTTCTATATAGAACCATCTACAGCACATTCTCAATAAGTCTGAAGAACCTGAAACTTTCACTTTTTTACTCACAGCTTATACATTTTCGTGATGTGTTCAGGCCCATTTCCTCCTCAGCATAAAAAATGTTTCCTCTTAGGTAAGAGTTATGCTTCAGTTGAAGAAGAGGCTCAGCGTAAGATCATCTGGCTGGACAATCGTAAGCTGGTCTTGGAGCACAACATGCTGGCTGACCAGGGCCTCAAAAGCTACAGACTCGGCATGAACCACTTTGCAGACATGGTGAGATCTTACATACACAGTTCGCTGAATGTTTTCTTCAGCTCTGTTTATTATGTGCTGTTCAGAAAAGACTCTTGACATCTGGATTGTCACAATCCTCTCACCATCTTCTTCTCCAACAGGACAATCAGGAGTACCAGCAGATGTTTAAGGGCTGCCTGGGATCCTTCAATGAGTCAGTGATCGAGAGTGCAACTACATTCCTCCAACGGGTAGAGGGCGCTGCTCTGCCCAGGAATGTGGACTGGAGGGCTAGGGGCTATGTGACCAGAGTTAAGGACCAAAGTCATTGTGGCTCCTGCTGGGCCTTCAGTGCGGTGAGTTACAGAAGGACAGGTAAAGAGGGAGAACCAGATAGAGGGATTAGTTGAGCGGTACGGCCAAAAATGTGTGACAGTGCAAGTAAACCTACCTTTTGAACTGGTTGTTATACTGGGATGTCCCTTCAGTTTTTAATTAGACCCATCTTTAAGAACCAAAGTCAATCTGAAATATTTTTTATTCTGCAGGAAAACCTAGCCTAAGCTTGCCTATTAAAATTCAGATTGGATCTTCTAGAAAGATTTGGTCATAGATTCTTACAGGATTGAAATAGCGCAGTGGTGTTCAAAATATCCAGCCAAGAGTGGCTCAGCAGTCTCAAACTGTGGTGTTTGTTTCTGTCATCTCTCTCTCTCAGACGGGAGCACTAGAGGGTCAGATGTTCAAGAAGACAAAGAAGCTGGTACGCTTAAGTGAACAGCAGCTGGTGGACTGCTCCGGGAGTTATGGAAACTTTGGCTGTCAAGGTGGTTTCATGGACAAGGCCTTCGAGTACATCATGTACAGTGGAGGCCTGGAGACAGCATACACCTATCCATATCAGGCCAAGGTGAGGCTGCCGTAGATAATAATGCCAAAAGTTTAATTAAAAATATATATTTGTCCTTACACAAAATGTAGTTGATCAGCTAAGACATCTTTATTGTCTCAAGTTTGCTTCTTTAGTTTTGCAATAGAGCTACAAAGCTAATGGAGTTAAGAAGTAATGAAAGCCATCTGATTGCCCATTAGCATGGTGAAAACTGCATAAATATTGTCTATACATTTTTATAACAGTTTGGCAAACAGGTGTGTGATGATTTGACATGCAGTTTGCACAGGGCTAATTTGTGGGGGCTTAATTGTTATCCTTATCGCTCCAGTGAAAAACTTGGTTCATCTACATTTGGGGGGAAATTGTGAGAACATTGATTTTTGAAAGTAACCTTTTAACTTCGAACTGAAGCAGAGGGGTAGCAGCCAATCCTGACTGTTTTCATCTCTCCTCAGGAAGGGCAGTGCAGCTTTAAAAAACAGAGAGCTTGGGCTAAGTGCTCCAACTATAAAGGGGTGTCGCCCACAGAAGCTGCTCTGAAGAACGCTGTGGCCACAATCGGACCTATTTCTGTAGCTATAGATGTCTCTCCTCACAGCTTCCAGTTGTACAAGTCAGGTAACCTGCAGAAAACTGTCACGCTGAACTCATATTCTGTCTTTATTGAGGCATATGTGAGTAAGCTGACCATTTGCAAAATAATGATTGGTTTGTCCCTCAGCCAATCTTCAGAACGAACCTGCAGTGAGAACGATGGTGGCAGTAAATAAGTCAGAATGATTAGATTTAGAAATGGTGCAAAGGTGTCAGTGAACAATGTAGAATGCTTGACTTGTGCTATTCTGATCATCTGGAGCTGTTTTTGTTTCATTTCATTTCTTTTAATTCCTGAAAGTGAAAATGTTTTGGAAGACCAAACTCACAGTTCAGTGTCAAAACTACTAACAGGCAGATTTATACTGGATCTAAGGTTACAGAACACTGTTAAGATCCATTAGCTAATTAGTTAGCTTAGCTGCTAACAATTACCAGATTAAACAGGACTGCTGAGTGCTCACATTTGGGATTAAAAACATTATGTATCAAGATAAATATTAATGCACTCGTACACATGCTATTCTTTATATTGTTTTGTTAGTTTGCTGACAAACTTCACATTAAAGATGATGAGTTCTTCTCAGTACCTAATGTAACATTGCTGTCTGACTATTTAGCATTAGCTCATCTAAAGTATGTCTGATCTGAATATCAAGCCAGTTTATTTTTAAATGATAAAATGTTTCTCCTCTGGGTGCTTCTAACCTGAACTTGCAGGTGTGTATGATGAGCCAGCCTGCAGCACCACTAAGCTGAATCACGCCGTCCTGGCTGTTGGTTACGGCACTGACCAACATGGAAAGGACTACTGGCTGGTCAAGAACAGGTAAACATCACAAAGACAATTCCTGATCACATTACTGTCAGGGACACAGTAGGGAAGGGGTCGCATGTGACTCTTTTACTGCCCTTTTGTGGCTCCATGGCAGAATTTGATTTTTAGGTAAAAATACAATAATCATCCTTTGCAGTAAAATAAAGCTCTCCTGATCATTCTAACACAGTTTTAACAATAAATGGTCTTAAACACTGGAGTTAGTGTGGCCTATATCTGCTAGTTCATCCTTTAACCCTGTAGGTTGGCAGACTGCTGGTCACCATAGCAACACAGACATCAATCTTGTCTAGCTAGTAGCTAAAGAAAAGGCAAAGAGAGAGATTTAAGACGAACGTCGATAATTTGAAGACAAATAGACTTATGGACCCTTTTCACAATGAGTCATGATTACTTCCAGTTTAAGCGTTAGATTAAGAAGTGGATAGAAGCACTGCTTTAACTGTAAACAGAGCTAAATGCTGTATGTGTGTGATAGCCTTGTTTTTACTGCAGTCTCTGTGTCTTTGTAAAACGTGCCAGCGATTTCTGTAATATTTCTGTTTAAAAAAGAAAGAAGAACTTTTATATGTAGAATGAATTTGATTGACTCTGCTTTTATTAAGCTAGCTATGCTGGCCAGAAGCCATTGCTGACAATAGCTATTATCCCAAACTGGATTACCCAGCTGACATCAAGCAGCTTTCTGCATCACCAGTGAATTTTCTACTCAACTTTAAAAAGCTAATGCAGGAAATAAACCATCAACGAAATAATTCTTACATAATCAGCTTGATTCAAGCAGCTAGTGTTAGCTGAAACATTATGTCAGAGACCTTATATGGCTCTTCCCAGATTACAAACAACTAGCTAGCTATGTCAGAAAATGGAAGTCAAAATGTCACAGCATAATCTCAATGCTAAGTCAGCTAGGAGTCGCATTTTTGATTGAGCAGTGAAAGGTGGATGTTATCTAAAGTATTGCTTCAAAAATTGTCATGAAACTAAAAGAACGATGCTGTTTGGCAGATCGCTAACATAGCTAGCCAGCTAGCTTTAAAGCTTGCTACTCATATGAAGCTGGTGTTCTTGCTAATGACCTCATTTAAACTCTACCAAATTCATGCTACATATAAAAGTTCTTTCTTTGAAAACAGAAATAATACAGAAATGGCTGTTGTACAAAGACAGAGAGACTACTTGATGTGAGGCAGCTGCAGGGCTACACCACACATACAGCATTTTAGCTCTGTTTAAAGTTAAATCAGTGCTTCAATCCACTTCCTATTCTCACTATTTGTCATGACGGTGCACGAAAACTAAGATATGTCTGTTGTAGCCCAGCGTGTGAGCATTATAGTACATTACTATAACATTTAGGCATTGCTTCTGCAGTAGTTATATGGAGCAGAAGTTAGTTTTACCCTGCTAGCACTTTAAGTAGTAGGAAGTAATCACAACTCCTTGTGAAATAGGATGTCTTTATAATCGCTCCAGCTGGTTTCCTGATACATTTAATCTGCCACAAGAAACTGTCAAACATCATCTAGTCATGAAGCTGAAGTCAGCTTCTCATCTGCCAGCTTTTTGTTAGAATTTTCCTGTTACACCTTAAATGGTGCCTGACGCAGCAGAATGTAACTGCTGCATCATTTCAGGTGTAATGTGAAAATTCAAACAAGAAGTTGACAGATGAGAAGCGTTGAGAGACATTTTACATTAAGAGACATTTTACAAGAGACAACTTTTGTGGAACACTTTCCTGCCGGAGATGTGAGAAAGCAGCTATAGCTGAGCTAAATATTAAAGCAGAGCAAAGTATGTCTGCATTTTTGTTTATGTTAATGTTTTTTTTTGTCTATACTAGTACTTTAGCACATACTGAGACATATTTACAACCAAGATGGCAAAATGGACATAAGAAGTTGTGGCTCCAAAGGTGGTCTGATTTTTGTTGAAAGGACTAAATGGCACTTCTTAACATTTGGGTTGCGACCCCTGCAGGAGGGGAAAGTAATTTAGTCAGAAGACAAAGATGAATATCTCACATTTACTTTGCAGCTGGAGAGTTAACTGGGGTGTTTACAGTGCGTGTATGAAGCATAAATAGATGTGCAACATAGTTTGGAAGAGTATTGTGTTTTAATAAGAAGGCAAAAATAAATACCCAACACTGACAGTAATTTGTTTTGCAGCTGGGGTACTGTGTGGGGTGATAAAGGCTACATCAAGATGTCCAGGAACAAGAGGAACCAGTGTGGTATTGCCTCATATGCCGTCTACCCTGTGGTTTAAAGGTATAACTTCATTAAAAATGTCAGTCCTCATCCACACAGATCTACACTGTTGAGTTCAGCTCCAGCTTCCTGTTTCAGATGCTGAAGAAAATGTAATGCAGATGTAGTGTGCCAGTAATTAAGAGTTTGAATGGCCATTGAAAATCGAGTTACTTGTGCTGTTTTTCACGTCACTGTAGCTGTGCACAATTGCTCTTGTGACCCAAAAATGTTTTATAGTTAATCACATTCCCTAACAGTTTGTATTGTGTATAGAAGACGTTTTAGTGATTCCAGTTGAATCTGAACTTCAGGTCAGTGGATCTCCTGGAACTGAGATGGGATCTCTAGAATTAGAACTGAACTACATCAATGAATATGCTGTATCTCTAGCTATAATACAACATTAATGAGTAGCATGTGAATTAATTCTGTTACATGTTGTTTTTCTACAGACTGGAGAGAGACAGAATCTTGAAAACCTCAGGAAGGAAGTTCTGGCCAAAAAAAAATGTTTCCTTTACTTTCCTTTTCCTCTGATTACCTTTCCTTTCTTTTTTCACTTCTTTTAAAGCAGATTAAGCATTAGATAAGCATTATACTTTCTAAAAATACAAATGAATGAAGTGTGAAATATTCCTGTTTCTGACTGCTCAAAAACAAAATAAACTATCAGCATTCATAAAATCTATGATGGCTGTAATTTATTCCAGCTCCTCACACCAGCACACACGTACACACTTATTATGATCCAGCGGCACAATGTTGTTATGTAGAGTTTATTTCAGTGTATAAGTGAGCCAGACTACCTGATTTCTAGTTTAAATCGTTTTAATATGCAAGTCTTCTTATTAGGTCAGCTTTTTAAATGACACCACCATATGTGCAAACCAACAGGCTAGTTTAGATCTCTCCTCTTTGATCTCCTTTTTAAGGTGAAATGGAACTACAGTTCACTGGCCTGTAAGCACTAGGCAGCACTATGAAGCTGGACTGTTAGTGTCCACTGGGCAATAAGACCGAACTAGGGTGCTGGGTGCCAGCTTTTACATGCCCACCGGAGCACTATGCAATGTTTGGGTGCAGAGGCACTGAGCAGTATAAGGGTACTAGAGTATTAGGTGGCGCTAGGAAGATGGGCACTAGGCTTTGGGGGCCCTCTGGGGTATTTGGTAGTGCTACAGAGCTTGATACCAGCTTGTTGATGCCCTTTGGAGCACTAGGTGGCACTATAGAGCTACTTACTTGCTCACTGGTGTCTTCTGGGCCAGTCAATAAGTAATAATTATTATGTTAATGATTACCTATAAAATGTAATAATAAAATTGATATTATGTTCATATTTTTAATGAGCATTTCTACTAACTATATCAGAGCCATAGACATTATTATTGTTATTTTATCATTTTATACTATTAAGCTATAATTTTAAAACCATTTAAACTCTCAAGGTGTGGAGAGAGCTCTTTCTGTCTCTGTCACTCTCACCATGAAAGGATATCAGTATACATGGTGGTTTTCTCACCTACACACAGTGACTCATCACTTGTTGTTTTATTGTCCAAAAGCAGTAACGGGGCAGTTTTCTCACGTTAAACACGGCTTCATAACCCCCGGTCTAGTGAGCAGCAGACTATCAAATGTTGTCCCTTCCTTAAAATTCAAACACCTTTTTTATAATCTCTCCTTATTTTAGCCACATTTGTCAGCCTGCTTTCCATGCATCATACTTTTGATTGATACTACACTACTTTGCTTTGTGTGACTTCTTTGAAAAATTAACACATAAGCATAGTAAATAAATTATATATTCACAGTGTTACAGTCAAGTCCATATGTATTTGGACAGTGACACACACACACACACACACACACACACACATTTTCTAAGTCACTTATCATGCATGTCTTTGGACTGTGGAAGGAAACCCACACTGACACTGGAAAACATGCAAACTCCACACAGAAAAGAATTACAGACATCCAGTTTTGTCTTCAGTAAGTGAAGAGGGTGGTCAATTGGGTCAAAATCAGGCGATTGACTCAGCCATCTAAGAATATTCTATTTCTTTGTCTTAAGAAGCTCTTGGCTTATTTTCACAGTAAATTTTTGGTTAATATTCATCTGTACCATGAAGCACTGTCCTGTCATTTGTGCAGTATTTGACTCAATCTGAGCAGAAAATGTAGCTCTATACACTTCAGAATTCATCCTGCCACATCTATCAGCAGTTACAGCATCAATAAACACTGGTTACCCAGTTCCATTGGCAACCATACATGCCCATGTTATAACACTACCTCCACCATGTTTCACAGATGATGTGGTATGCTTTGGATCATGACCCCTTCTTTTTTTTCACTTCTCTTCCCATCATTCTGGTGCAAGTTAATTATGGCTTCATCTGTCAAAAGAATCTTGTTCCAGAACTGGGCAGACTTTTTTTAGATGTTTTCTAGCAAAGTCTAATCTGGCCTTTCTCTTCTTGATTGTTAGCAAGTTAGATTGTGAAGTAAAGCCTCTGTATTTACCTTCATGAAGGAGTCTTTTGATTGTAGACTTTGATAATTGATAACTTGATATTGTGAATGGGTTTTTCTTCACAACAGAAAGAAAAATATCATCATCCACTTTAATTGACTTCCATGGTCTTCCAGGTTTTTGGTGTTGTTGAGCTCACCAGCTCCTTCTGTTTGAGAATGTACCAAATTGTTGATTTGGCCACTGACCAATGGTGATTTGACCACTGCTATTCACTGCTATTTGACCACTACTTTTCACTAATGTCTCTCGAAAAGATAAGTTTTGTTTTTCAACCCTCCATTTACATCGACACCTCTTTGGATTGCATGATTCTATTGTAAATCAAAGTGTGATTCCGTTGTCACTAGCTAATTATGTAGGTAGTGTAAGGCCTTTGGTCCAGCTCCACAATGAAGGCAATACAACAAATTTACTAACTTAACAGTGAAATAAGCTTATAACTACAATAATTATAGAGTTTAAATACAACAAGACTGATGATTCTCTTTTAGAAAAATGAACTGAACAGTATAGACCTGTTCATTTTTATTTCACAGAAATCATCATGTCTTGTCTGAAGGCCTAAAATGACTAACTAACTAACTAAATAACTAACTAACTAGCTAAATAAATGAATAAATAAATAAATAAATAAATAAATAAATAAATTTCAGAAGAACATGCTTGTAGTTTTTACACATTTTAGGGATTCAGATAATTAAATTATCAGATAATATATATATATATTATATATATATATATATATATATATATATATATAATATTTCGAAAATGACATTAAATAACATTAGGAAATGATTAATAATAACAATAATAATAATAATAATAATAAATAAAAAGAAAAATTATATGGTGTCTTCATTTTTGTCATTTTTCTGTTTTTGATGTAATTTGAAAATGCCTGTTGTTTTTAGATTTTAATTGAACTTCTAAAAGTAACTTAACAGAACAGAAATCTTTATTAATCTGTATCTGCTCCTGTAAGTTTAATTAACTCAAAATTTATGGCAGCCCAAACACTAACTCTTTAAAGTTAAAACTTCTTTTTTTCAGTGTAGGCACACACTAACAGCGGTGAAAATGCTGTTTTTAAGCCTAAAGCTTGGATGCATTCCAGCATCACAGCTGAACAGTGTTTATATGATATGGCTTTCTTACTGTATCCTGTAGTTTATCTGATCACTCATTTCACAACATTAATGCAGGACAGAAACTACATGGCATTGTGAAAAGAAATAAGAGGTTGAGAATATGATTCATTGAGTTTATGTGATCTAAATTTGAAGGATTATTACATTTTTAAACAGTATTTGTTTATTTCCCTTAATCTGAAATTATTTACAGTGTAGGTAATTATTCTGTTCATTCTTACTCTGTGCAGAATGAGGGTTTTGCTTGCTGTCGCTGCTCTTGTGGTTGTGGCCACAAGTGCAGCTAGTGTCTCTGTGGAGGATCTGGAGTTCAACGCCTGGAAACAGCAGTTTGGTGAGAAATTTACATCACATCTGCTTCTTTTTTTCACGAACAACTCTCCATCAGGTAGAGGCATTAGACTAAAATCACATATATTATTTAGAATAGCAGTATATATCTGAAAGAATTGGATTTTAAAGTCTCTTTATTCGAGCAGTGTGTTTATTTGTTTGGTAAGTGTTTATTTGTTTGCTTTGTTTGTATAGAACCACTAACACCCAAAAACCCTTTCCATGATTAAAGGGTTCTCTGCACGGTGAAATGGTTCTTCAGATCAAGCATTTTGTCTTGTGTAAATATTCCTCCCATATATCACTGGATCCTCTGAATTACAAGGTAGTACAAGGTAGATGATAATATCAAATGTATACTATATGGACAAGGCATTGGGACACCCCTCCTAATTATTGAGTTCGGGTGTTTCAGCCACACCCATTGCTAACAGGTGGATTAAATTAAGCACATAGCCTTGCAGTCTCCATAGACAAACACTGGCAGTAGAATGGGTCGCACTGAAGAGCTCAGTGACTTTAAACAGTGAAATTTCTGCCCTGCTAGATCTGCCCCTGTCAACTGTAAGTACTATTATTATGAAATGGAAGCACCTATGAGGAACAACATCTCAGCCAGAATTGCATGTGTGTAGTGGGAACAGTTTGGGGAAGGCCCTTTTCTGTTCCAGCATGATTTTTCTGTAGAAAACTTCCCAGAAGAATGGAAGCTATTATAGCTGCAAAGGGGGAACAACTCCATATTAATGCCAATGGATTTAGAGTGAGATTCATAAAAGCTCCTTGTAGGTGTAATGTGTTGGTGTCCCAATACATACATACATACATACATCATCTAAACCGCTTTTCCTTCTGGGTCGTGGTGGGGTGCTGGAGCCTATCCCAGCCGTCATTGGGCGGAAGGCAGGTGTCCCAATACTTTTGTCCATATTCTGTAGCTCTATCAGGTAAACCAGTCTCTTTGACTCTTTAAAGACCTCATAATTCAGAGGATCCAGTGAAATTCATAGGACAAAAATGATCACCTTTGGAACATTTTTGATTACAAAAGGATGTGACAGATGCAGTTTTAAAAAAGTTCATTCATTCTTATTATAGATAAAATCTTTTTAGATCCAGATTTCCCTATATGTGTTTAAAAGCGTAGCACCAACCACAAAATGATGACATGACTTCAGTGGTCTATTGGCTGAACAGGCTGTAGGCTGAACTTGAGGTGCATTCAAAAGACATGCACACACTAAACACGGCTTCCCCATGAAATACATTCTTGAAAATGATGGTTCTTCAAGGGTTCTTTAGTAAAGAAAATGGTTCTATACAGAACCATGAACACTCAACGAACCCTTTGCATGATTAAAGGGTTCTTTGCATGATGAAATGGTTCTTCAGATTGATGTGTTGTATATGATTCTATAGAACCTTTTTAAAAAAGGTTCTATATAGCACCAAAAGGGTTCTTCTATCATTGCAGGCTTGACATAGAAACTATAGAAGAATCCTTTTTGATGCCATATCGAACCTTTTTCAAAAAGGTTCTATATAGAACCACCTACAGCACATTCTCCATCAATCTAAAGAACCTGAAACTTTTACTTTTTTACTTGCAGCTTATACTTTTTCGTGATGTGTTCAGGCCCATTTCCTCCTCAGCATA